AGGACTCCAGGAGGCAGCCAGAACAGGGAGAAGGAAGTGACATCTCAATTGCTTTTAGAAAAGGCTGGAATTTCCTGTATATGAATCAGCCCTTAAGACTGCCCGCCATGATTATCGTCTCTCATTTTCTTCAATGCAGGTGGCCTTTTGGTGAGTCTCACTCTACTTTCCATGTTCTCATCTCCCTCTTGGCCATGGCTCTAGAAGAGGGGCTCTAGGTTAACTCACTGTGGAAGGCCAGGCGTACGCCCCTGGCCTCTTGCATCCAGGCATCTCTTCCTTACCAGGCATGGCTCTGTGACTTCTGGAATTAAAACCATCTTGAATTCATGTATATTTTCAGTTTGTGCTACTTTTCTTGATTGCTTGTCACACAAGTTTACCTCCTATTGAGAAAAGTAGAGTTGTATTTGTTCTGGCTGAGTGCAGTGGCTTACACCTGTAATCCCAGCACTTTGGGAGGCCAAGGTGGGCGAATCACGAAGTCAAGAGTTTGAGACCAGCCTGGCCGATGTGGTGAAACGCTGTTTCTATGAAAAATGCAAAAAATTAGCTGGGCATAGTGGTGGGTGCCTGTAATCCCAACTACTTGGGAGGCTGAGGCAGGAGAATCACTTGAACCTGGGAGGCAGAGCTTATAGTGAGCTGAGATTGGATCTAGCCTGGGTGACAGAGTGAGACTCCATCTCAGAAAAGAAAAAAAAAAAAAGAGTTGTATTTGTCCTAAAACTGCCTCTTTTAAGCTCCTGGGGTAGCCCATGGCAATTTTGGATCTAAAGCTTTTAAAGAACCTATCCAAGGTGGTGGAAGCCAGCTTCCAGCCTAATACTTTCTACCCTCAGCTAACAGATGTTCTAAATGAACAGTATTTTCTTTTAAATAGTCCCACCCCTACCCAATATGAACCTTGTTGAAGGTGGAGGGTGGTTGTTACCAACACTCAATGGGAAAGCCCAGATCCAAAGCGACCTAGTCAACAGCTAAAAAAGCACAGTCCGTTTTTCAAAGCCTTTACAAAAAAAAGTTCTTCTGTGGCTTGGGAACACCTCTTATTTTGGGTTTTCTTGCATTTGATGGAACAGCTATTTGGTTCTTAAATGTGGTGCCAAGTGTAATATTTAAAAAGACTGGCAGAATTTTGCAGCTTGTGACCTCATTGGAGATTTTGTTCACTTTCCAAAAAAAAAAAAAAGAGAGAGAAAAGAAAAAAAAAGCTATGAGGGAAAGGTACGTTAAAATGCAGCATGAAGCTGGTAACATTTTTAAGAGGGTAAGATTTCTATCCCAAGATGGTATTTTCTGCAGGAGCCAATGGAATGACCACAGGGAGGGGGAAACTCCCCCCTCACCAGGAGCTTCCTGTTATTTTGGATGACAACCAGCAGGTTAAAATAATTGGGGTGGGAAAACGTTATGGCTATGTTTACACGGTTCCCAGCTTGCTCCTAGAGATTCAGCAAGCATGAACCTCTTGTCCTTCCTCTCCCTAGATCCTGTGTTACCAACTTGGGGGAAGGGGAGGGATTTTGTGCCCCAGGAGACGTTTGGCAATGTCTAGAGGCATTTTTGGTTGTCTCATCTGAGGGGTGGTGGTGTACTACTGGCATCTAGTGTTTAGAAGCCAGGGATGCTCCTAAACATCCTGCAAAGCTTAAAACAGAGGCCCTGCCCCAGGGAGGAATTACCCAGACCAAAATGTAAATGATGCTAAGGTCGAGGAACCCTGCTCCAGAGGGCAAATTTTTAAATGGAGGACTTGGAAAGCGAGTGGCCATGAGAGCAGTGAGTGGCAGTTTTTTTTTTTTTTTAATTGAGTCTCTTATCACCCAGGCTGGAGTGCAGTGCATGATCACAGCTCACTGCAACCTCTGCCTCCTGAGTTCAAGTGATTGTCCTGCCTCAGCTTCCCAAGTAGCTGGGATTACAGGCATGCACCACCACGCCCACCTAATTTTTGTATTTTTAGTAGAGACAGGGTTTCACCATGGTGGCCAAGCTGGTCTTAAACTCCTGACCTCAGGGGTTCACTTGCCTCGGCCTCCTAAAGTGCTGGGATTACAGGTGTGAGCCACCGCGCCTGGCCAGTGGTAGTCTTTTAAAGTGGTCTCTTGCTCCCTTTAGCTAACTTTACCCTTTTTAGCTACAGCGGAGAGCATAAGAGAAAACATCATCGTCACTTCTATTTACTGAGTGCCTAGTATATACTACTAAGTGCTGGAATTACTGCATTTAGTCTTCACAAAAAGCACTACTGAATACACGAACCTCGAGAGCAGGTTCCACCTGTTCGTCTCATTGCCATGCACACTAAGTCTAGTACAGTGCCTGGCACATGGCACACCCTCAAGGCCGTGGATATGATCATATCCACAGTATATATGAGGAAAATGAGGCTGGAAGAGTTCACACAGTCGGTATAAGTAGCAGAGTCAGGATTGGAACCAAACTCCGTGTAACTCTGGCACCAACTCTTATCCAATGAAATATATCCTTCCCTTGCAGCAACAAGGAGAATTTTCTGGCGCCTAAAAGCACTTGTGAGGGACTGAGGGAGGAGAAATTTTTAAATACCATTAAAGAAAAAAAGTAATGACTTGTCTGTGTGGAAGCTGAAGTGGAAGAACGGCCTCATGGAAACTCTCTCATGAAGTCATCCTCGTTTTTGAACAGCAATTTTGGCTTTTCCAGTTTCTGTGTGTGCTGTTGGTACAGGTGTGTTACTCTTCTCATTTTGCAGATGAGGAAACTGAGGCACATAAGTAACGTGAGAAAGTAGGAGATAGAGGACTGGAACATGACACTTCGAATAAGGAATGCCTCAGTTCCTGGGCACCCGCAGGGAGTCGCTGAGAAGCAAGTTTTCCCGGGAGTAGACTCCCAGCTCGTTCAAACCCTTCCCATTCCTACATCGTGTCTGGAGGGGTAAAAAAAAAAAAAAAAAAATCCGCTCGCTCAAGTCCTTCCCATTCCTACAACGTGTCTGGAGAGAAAAAATAAAATCCTTCCCTCCCAGAAGCAAAGCCCCGCAACTTCTTAGTCTTCCCTAGCGACAGGAAAGGAAACCCAGCGAAATTACGCCTTCCGACGGCCTTTGCGAATCGTGAGGAACGCAGGCGCCCTGAAGCGGCGTGCGCACTACGATTCCCGGCAGCCGCGGGCGGGGGCCGGACTACATTTCCCAGGGGTCAGAGGCGGGGGCGGGAGGGGGCGGGCCTTGGCGATGCTCCCGCCCCTCCTCCGTGCTCGCGCCGAGAGGTAAACAAACCACGCGCGGGCTGCCCGCGGCACGGCGGGCGCGGCTGGCGCGGCGGGGGCGGCGGAGAGCGCGCCGAGCCGCGGCCGGGCTGGCCCGCCCGCCCGCCGCACGTGTTCCGGGACGGCGCCGGGCCGTAGCCGCCAGCGGCGCCTCCTGTTGGCCTGCGAAGGGAGTGCGGAGAGGCGCCGGTCACCACCCGCGGTGCCCATGGAGCGGGTGCGGATGATCAACGTGCAGCGTCTGCTGGAGGCTGCCGAGTTTTTGGAGCGCCGGGAGCGGGGTAATGGCTGGGCACCGCTGCGTGAGCCCGCGCGGTACTAATCTTTGTGGGGAGTGCGGTGCAGCCAGTGAGGAAGGGCACGCGTGTGAGGTGCGCGCATGAGGGGAGGGGCGTGTGAGGGGAGGGGCGTACGCGAGTGTGAGGGGAGGGGTGTGGGAGGGGAGCGCGCGTGTGAGGGGAGAGGCGTGCGAGTGTGAAGGGAGGGACGTCTGAGGGAGGGGTGCGCGCGTGTGAGGGAGGCAAGTGTATGTGTGAGGGGAGAGGAGTGCGCGTGTGAGGGGAGGGGCTTGTGCGGGGAAGGGCGCGCGGGTGTGAGGCGTGGGGCGTGTGAGGGGAGGGGAGCACGAGTGTGACGGGGGCGTCCTCGTGTGTCGGGAGGGGTGCGCACATTTGAGGGGAGGGGCGTGCGGGTGTGGGTAGGGGCAAGTGAGGGGAGGGGAGCACGCGTGTGAGAGGAGGGGCGTGTGAGGAGCGGGGTCCGCGCGTGTGCGAGGAGAGGCGTGTGTGGGGAGCGTCGTGCGCGTGTGAAGAGGGGCGCGCGTGGGAGGGAGGGTGTGCGGGAGGGGTGGGCGCGTGGGAGGGGGCTTGCGCGGGCTTGCGCGTGAGGAGGTACGCATGGCGAGGTGTGTGCTAAGATCGTGAGTGGAGGCGTGTGTGAGAGGTCGCGCAGGTTCTGGGAAGGTGCCTGGGTGCGCACGGAGGATGGGGCTGTGGGTGTGCGGGGAGCGGGAAGGAGCAGGTGGAGGGGAGTTGGAGACAGGGCTGTCCCGGGCTGATGAGGTGACAGTGAAGCCGGGAGGGCCCCGATGCTGGAGAGGGTGCTGGGAGGTGAGAGGAACGCGAGTGCTGGGGGGTCTGGGGAGGAGAGGAGGCCAGGAGAACACCGAGATGGGGAAAGCGGGTGGAGAGGGGGCAGATGACTCGAAGCGTGGGGAAGAGGCCTTTGAGGATCTGCGGGGTGATGAGATGGGGTCCTTTAGGGGTGGCAGCCCAAGGGGATGTAGAGATGGAGCAGGAAGAGCGGGATCTTGGGAGTTGTGGTGTTAAGAGAGAAAATGTCCTTTTAAGACTGTTTAAAGTACACAAAAATATTGTGCTTAAAAAGAGACACTTTAAAGAGAGTTGAAGGTAAAGGGGAATTTTGAGGCAAGTGAAATCAATGAATGGTAACTGGTCAAAAACGTCTTCTAAAGCAACTGAAATTCCAAAAAACAACAACAACAAAAAACTCCTTGGGAGAGAAGGATTTGGGGAAGGAGTAAGAAATTATTTGGATTAGAGGAGGTATCAAAACACCTTCCAGCTGGTAGGATGCCACAGGGATGTCAATCTTCTAATCAAGAGTGGAAACGTTTTACCTCTTTTCCTGCTTTCGAAAACCTGTTTGTGCAAAGACCTCGGATTTGTTGTTCAGTGGATTTGGGTACCATATTCTTAACATAGATTTTTTCTTGCTCTCTTCAGAGTGTGAACATGGCTACGCGTCTTCATTTGCCTCCATGCCGAGCCCCCGACTGCAGCATTCAAAGCCCCCACGGAGGTTGAGCCGGGCACAGAAACACAGCAGCGGGAGCAGCAACACCAGCACTGCCAACAGGTAGCAAGTTGGGAATGCTTAGAAGAGGGAACTGGAGGAAGGAGCACATTTCTCCTGTAATCCCAAGTCTGGAGGAGCAGCACTTGTTGGGTTCCTTTACCACTTACCCTAGAGATTTGGCTCCTTTAAAATAATGAAGGCTGGGAATCATAACCTGGTTTTGCATGGAAGGGAAGGAATAGAATCTGGAAAGACAACCAGAGAGGTTCTTGCTGGGGTTATTAAAATGGTGAGGTCTATGACTCAGAGGACAGTCAGTTGAGAGACTTGACAGCTTGTGTCCATGCAGGCAACCACCTGCTAAAAGTAATTGTGGGCTGGCTTTCAATATTCTGGCGAAGTTTAGGACAGTTCAAGAAGATTTTTTAAAAAAATGAGAAATAGGTCTGGCAGTGTTTAAAGCACAATCAAGGGCTTTGTTAAAGGAATAAAAATATTCAGGTAGACTTGGTAGTGAGCAGGTTTGGTGATTTGTTGTTCAAGGAGGAAAGGGAAGACCATGCTGTAAAAGTTTTGTTTCTTTAAATAAGATTAGATTGATTGGTGGACTCTTAAAGCAAAGATGAAAAAAAAATCTGCTTATCTTTCAAACAGAATAGATCCTTTAGAATATACTTGTCTAGATGTACTCAGATAGTCTGAGCCTAGTGGCTTGCACCTGTAATTCCAACACTTTGGGAGGCTGAGGTGGAAGGATTGCTTGAGCTTAGGAGTTCAAGACTAACATGGATGACATAGTGAAACTTTGTCTCAAAAGAGAAAAATAGTAATATACTAAGACTTCCATTTTTGAAAAGCTGGGTAGTGTCTGGCTGTCTCTTCAGTGTTTTTATTCTAGGGAGCCAGTGAATAACAGAAGATTAACAGATGACTGCCTTTTTCACTGATAAGGGGAATTAAATGAGACCTTTATTTCTAGAGAATATTATAAGCATTCATTTTGGGGAGGACAGAGCAATCCCTAGGTAACTAAATTTTCCTGAAGGCTTTGGGGAGCTTCAGTCAGGTGGTTGGTTAGTCATCTGGGGAGACAGATTGGGAGGGAATGGGGCTCTTGATGCAGAAAACCTGAGGCCTCTATAGATAACAGTTAGAGCTCATCAGGTTGGATCATCCCACTCTGTGTTTCAGACATCACTGAGGAAAAGGTAGGATTCACTTTTCTCCCTTTGACTTCTCTGTAGAGCTGCGTGTTTCCTTTTTTAGCTTCTTTTCATTAAGACTGTTGTATATTTTTTAAACTTAATTTCTTAAATTATAAAAATAATTAATGTAAGCTTAATGTACTATACGTGTTGTGTGTGGGTCTAGAGATTTTGTTGTATTTGTTGTATTTGCTGTATTTGAGATGAAAATATGTAGTATGATATACAGCATTTTTAAAAATGTACTTTTGCTTGTCCTTACAGTTTCAATGTTTAAAGCTGTCAACAATTAAGACCCATTCAGGAATTTATGTATCTTTCAAACCATGTAGATTAAAAAACTTTTATTTTTTCTTTCAATTTGGAGACATGGGAAGAGAACATATAGGAAACCAGACCTGGGTTCTGGCATGCTGCAAGTATTTAAGCCTTTCCTGTTTCGTAGAATTAGGTATATAACTTCGTACATTTCCCATATATACTATTTTCATCTGTAAAATGAGATGTATTAGATTCTCACCAAGGTCCCTCATTCCCTTGAACTTCTGTGACTCTGATTTATTGACAGTTTTAGAGATTGGTTACTATATTAGTAATTTAGTATATCTCCCCATCATTGCAGATGTGACATTTTTAGGAACTCAAGGATTATAGAGGCATAAATGCACATTCCTAGGTTTTTATCAATTATGTTACAGGTCATTAATAAGAAACTCTGAATCATCTGTTGACTTACACTTTGCTCAGCTTGGGATTTGGGCTAAGTGATGTTTCTCTTTCATGTTAGTGTTTCTGTTAGGATTCTAATATTATGTGTGGGACCACAGTGCTAATTGCTGCATTTTAGCATAGCATGTCAGAAAATTTGTAAAAGGGCAAGCCTGCCATAGTTCTGATAGTCCCCAAAAGAGAATATGTGTACATTGGACCACCTAGAACAAAGGAAGGTATTTTTATGGGAATATGAGTAGCAACAAAGAAAGATCTCAAGATCCACCAATATGTGGGGTTTACGCTGGGGCCTATGAAAGAGAACTAGTATGTTAAAATGAAACAGTAGAAATTATTTCTCCTTAGGCACTTATTTAAAATGCCTGCTTCATGGAAGTTAGGAGAGCTGAGGTAGAAATTCCAATACTGCGGTATTTGGACAATAGTATTGTTCCATTTGTAAGATGACACTGTCGGCATCTTAATTTTAAGTTTACTGTTGGATTTTAGTAGAGACTTTATTATACTGGTTACATAAAGCAGAAAGAAGACTTACAGAAATTTCCATGTATTCATCATCTGAAACAAGAAAAGGAATAGAGTTGATAAGTATATATGTTTTATTTTTTCCTGATCAAAAAGCTACTATGTAGGAGTTGCTGTTATTACTGTACATCTTGAACATTGATGTATGTTATAAAATGACATTTGTTTCTCTGACATCGTAGCATCTTTAAGATATAATGGTGATTGACTATTTTCACCCCATATTCTCAGGTATTATATGATATACCTGATAAAAATGTTATTTTAGGCCAGGCACAGTGGCTCTGTAATTCCAGCACTTTGGGAGGCTGAGGTGGGGGGATCACCTGAGGTCAGTAGTTTGAGACTAGTGTGGCCAACATGATGAAACCCTGTCTCTACCAAAAATACACAAATTAGCTGGGCATGGTGGTGTGTGCCTGTAATCTCTGCTACTTGGGAGGCTAAGGAAGGATAATTGTTGGAACTTGGGTGGTGGAGGTTGCAGTGAGCCGAGATTGTGCCACTGCACCCCAGCCTGGGCAACAGAGGGAGACTCCATCTCAAAAAAAAAAAAAGTTGCTTTATAAATTTATGCTGGATGTTAACTCATAGTATTATAAATTCCTATTTCCCTTTCCCCTAGGCCTTAAAATCTTATTTTCATAGAAGTACAAAGGAGAGAAAATAAATGATATAATGTGATATTATAAATATGTTCCTTGCAAATACCAGTAATTTTGTCATTTGGGATCCTTCTGACAGTTGGAAGTGGGACATATAACTATTTTTAAGATAAATGCTTTATTTTACTGTGGTCTTGGTCACAGCCTTCTGGCACACTTCCAAAAATCAACATTGCTAAGATATTACTACTGTTAGAGAATGTGGCTACAGTAGCTATCTGGCTCTTTGGGGAGCATCAGATAAGCTCAAATTCTCAGCTTCTTTACTATTTGGTATCACAACTGAAATATCTCAAGGTCGGTCATTCTTAAAACTCTACTAAACAAGCCATGGCTGCAGTGTAACACTGATTTCTTCCCTAATATCTCTTCAATCTGCCTTCTTTCCTGTTACCTTCATTACTATCCTCCCAATCTCAGCTACCATCATCTCTCACCTGGACAACTGCCGTAACCTCCTACCTGGTGTCCCTGCAAACAGTCTTTTTTTTTTTTTTTTTTTTTTGCGCCCCCCCCCCCCCCCCCGCCCCGACCCAACAGTCTTATGAATTATATTGGCTGGCTTCTTTCAATTCCTTCAATACACCGTATTTTCTTCTTCCTCAAGTTCTTTGAGCACATTCTGTTCCCTGTGGAAATCAATTTTCCTCCCCCTTTGCCAAGTTATCTCTAATAACACTCTTCTTTCAGCTCAGTCTTAAGTTCCTCGGGAATGTTTCTGCCATAGTAGGTCAAGTCTTCACATACTTCATAGCACCCCTACTTTTCCTTCATAGTGTTCATCACATTTCTAGAAATACAATTACCTAATTGTTTCTTAAATTCGTATCCTATTCATTGGACTGAAAACCCCGTGAGGCGAGCAGGAATTGAGTCTCTTCTGCTTAAACATTTATCCCCAGTACTTATTACAGTGTCCTGTACCTATTATGTGTTTCTTAAAGAACTGAAAGTTTTCAAACTCCAAGTAGACTGTCTTAAATTGAGTTTCTTTTTTTGTGCTGAGTACCATATTAGACTGGAAGGAAGGATGATAGAGCCCTTGCTTTGGCAAACTCTATTTACTTTGTGTTCCAAGGGCTGTTAATGATACATTTGGAAAAACAATATATAGTATTTAAAGACTAAAAATCTCGAAGCTGTCAATTCTTTTAAACAGGTAGGCTACTGAATGCTACACTTAATTCTGAAGAACATTCAGTGTCATCCTATGTTGTGAAAATAAAGTAATATCAAAACTTGCATATTGAAAGAATCAGAAGTCTGTCAAATATTGGCAGTAAATATTCACATGAGCCTGTGACATGTACACAGTAATTGCATTGTTTTAAGGTAATCTGGGAAGTAGTAAATAGCCAATTTATGCTTTAATTTCAGGTTGATATATTTCTTCTCTTTAGTGTCCTGTGGATACTAAATAATCTCATAACAGCAGTATTTCAGTTCCATCTTCTGAGATTGAGGACACTAAAAAACAACTTTTCTTTTGCTTATAAGGCTTTAGTTTAATTTTCCTATTTTGAATAAAGAAATGTTTTAGTCTTATTTTAGATAGAATTATTGTATTGTTATAGTTTCAGCTTTATATCCTTTTCAGCTATCTTGATAGATTTTTAGTTTTTCTTGGGGAGGGATGGTGGTGAATTGTTTTCCTAGGATAGTTACAAAGGATTTTTTTCAGTAGTAATTTGACATGCTTTATCTTCTCTTTATTCTACATGAATCTATTTGTTCAAAGAAGAACTGGATGAAGGCTTATTTTTATTTTCGTGTAATTTCTTTCTACTATTCTGTGTTTTTAACATTTTTTAATATTAAAAAACAGTTTCTGGATCTTTGTCCCATCGAAAACTCCCAAAGTTTCGGGACAAAAATGTAGATATGACAGGTTAACTCTTAATGATGTTGTTTTTATTCTTCAGTATTTTCTGCA